TATGTGTGCCTATGTTTATAGCAGCACAATTTGTGATAGCCAAATCTTGGAAACAACCAAGATGCCCATCACCTGAGGAATGGTTGAAAAAGATGTATTTTTACACAATGGAGTATTACTCACTTACTGACTAAGACTGATCATCATGTCAGAGGAGCCTCATGCTGATTCACAACCACTGGGGGGGGAACTCAGCACACAGTAGGAGCTCCTGATGGCACTCTGAAATATCACGGTGTGGGTCAGTGTCTGTAGGCCTGGATGCCTGGCACGAAGAGGTACACAAAAAGTGTCTCCAAAACTTTAAAGGAACAAGTAACACAAGTTGGCTGTTTTACAATGTGATTTCTAGTTAAAGAAAGTGTGTGTGTGTGTGTGTGTGTGTGTGTGTGTGTGTGTGTGTGTGTTATGTGTGATTGACAGGGTGAAGTCCCCATGGTGGGTGACTTAATCTTCAGCAGGCAAGGTCTACGCCATGAAGAAAATAGTCAAAAAGAACCATGGCTTGTACATGTCTGAAGAGGCCCTTGTGCTTCAAACACTCAGCATCCAGCGTGGCGTGTGTTGAAAGGAGGGCATGCTACACAAACACTGTGGCCCTGTTTCCATGGTCACTGTGTGTTAATGAATCTGAGAAGGGCCTTCGGGCTGTGCTTACTAAACTTGTCTGCAGAGCCAGCTGAGCCAGGCAAAATCCCTTCAGCGTGGGTGGCTTTGGTTTTCTTCTTTTCCTGTATCATTTCTTCTTTGCCAGTAAAACTAAACCCAAAAGCTAGAGGCATGAACTGTGCAAAATAACCTTGAGAGGTGGCTGTTCTAGTTGAAACTTACCATCTTCCCTGTTGCTATGGTTACTTCAGCAGGTCGCCCAGTGAGAATGGCTCTGTCATCAGCAACGAATCAGGGAAGCCCAGCTCAGGGAGGCGCTCACCCCAGAACGTAATGGCACAGCAGAAAGTGACAAAGGAGGAGGCAAGGAAGAGAAACGGTGAGAAGCCTGCCTGCCAAGCACCACCCTAGCCCCTTACACGGGTGCTTGCACACACGAGCACCCACTTACACGCCCGGGGTGATCTAACCCCCTCCCTGCGTTCTATTCTGTCCACAAGAGCCAGAGCCTCCTAGATGACTGCTTTAACCCTTTCTCTGGGTTGTTGTGTTGTACCTCCTCTGCTCCTGCTCTTAAGGAACTGCTTAGTCTCTTAGAAAAACCCTTGTAAAACAAAGTGATGTTTGCTTTGCGATGTGCCTCATCCTGGAATGGATGGATGTGATTTCTGGCACCAGGTCTGCTCAGGCAGCTGCTCTCTGAAATGCTGGTCATTTTGAAGATTTCTTTCCATTTCCTGCCCATATATCTGATGAGTGTCAGGAGTTCGGTCTGCCCTAGTGAATGTAGACACTGCCGATGTAACTGCCCCCCCCCAAAAAAAAAACCAGTAGACTGATTTGCCAATAAAAACTCAGCCTTGTGCTTCATTCTCCTGGGAGACTTAACTGTTTCATCTTGGTCATACACGGATCATTTTCCTCTCTCGGATGTGTTAGTGTCTGAGGTTTATATCTGTGTCTTTTTGAGCTCCCTTGTTGTGTAGGGCACCAGCTATGCATCGCGTCTGTGGAGCATCATGGGACTGCCTTGCGGTCCTCCTGGGCCACCTTGGTTCTGACCCTCATCCCTTCATGGTCTTTCTGCATGTGAGGCTGGCTTGCTGGAGCCCAGAATGCAAGGACCCAGCACTTTTGAATGCATATCAGAGAAAATTCCTTCTGAATTCCAGAGAGTTGTGGCTGGGGCCCTGCAGAGATGCCGGGTGAACCTACAGATGTGCCAGAGCCCCACATCCTGGTGCGCTGCTTAGCTGGGCTTCCCTTTCAAAGAAGGGGTTTGAAGAAGTGCAATGCAGGGCTCTCTCTTGAAGCTAGTGCCAAAGAACTCTTTTGTTTTCAGATTTCACTTACCTGTTTTTTTTTCCTGTCTAAAAGAGATACAAAATGTAGAAAGAAAGAAAGAAAGATGGATAGATAGATAGATTTGCATTCTTCAGAGAAAACACAGTCCCTGTCCCCATTTCCCGCTATTACATAAAACACTTGTTAAATTCTCATGCGTATTTGATTCTTAAATTTTTTGTCCCTAGAACTCTGTGTGCTCCCAAAGATGGAAGCTGCTTTCTGCATCAGAATTAGGCTGTGACCTCTGGGATTTTTCTGGAATAACTCCCCTCTGGGACCACTAGAAATCCTGCTATCAGTTCTCTGCCAGGGAGGCACATAAGGAATTTTCCAGAAGGAAGTTCTGAGCTCAGAAAGAGGGACTTGTGCTTGGCAACTTTCTTTTTCTTCCCATGGCAAGATGCTAAGAGACAGGGCAGAGAGAGCACTGTGACAGCACAGACAATAGACACTGGAGCCATACAGAAGATTTTTAAAAAACTGAACACAGCCATCCCCCCATGTCCAAGGGTTTTGCAGTGTTATAGTCTACCAATAGTGGATTGAAAGTAGTGGGAAAATATTGTGGCTGTCCTGACATAGACAGGCTTCTTCTTTTTTTTTTTTTTTTGCTTATCATCATTTCCAAAGCAATAATAATTCTTTATGTGCAATTACTACTGTTTTAAGTGTTACACGTCACCTGGAAGTGATTTAGAATGCTGAGAGGATGTGTGCAGATTCCTTGTGAATTCTATGCCATTTAGATAAGGAACTTGAACAGCACCTGCAGCCAATTCCCTGTGGATTCTGAGGTACTGCTATGCCACAGGGGCCATGGCCAGCTCACCAAGATGGTGCCCCTCCACCTTCTCATCCTGCCTCCTCCACACTGCCTCTGTCCTTCCCCCCCTTCTTTAGTTCCTTTATACGCTTTCTGGAAGTTTAGGAAGTCAGAAGCCACTCTGTCCTCTAGGTACCTCCTCACTGTCCCACCCCAGACTTTGACGGACTCTGAATAACTCACTGTGTGTTTCTCTGGCCTTTTTACTATGTGTGAGGCAGCACGTACCTACCTTTGTGTCTTATCAGCTTGCTTTGTTTTCTTTTCATAAAATGAAATGTACTTATTGTTGGATGTGCTTTTTCTTGCGTAAAAAGGTGTAAAGTACAGACTCCTCTGTCAGTCAGTAGCCATTCGCATGTGATCCTTTCCCTCCTCTGCGTTTGATCTGTAGAGTATGTGGTTTCTGATCCCCTCTCTCCCCACTGAGCTCCTAAAACTGCCCTGCTGTAAGGGTCTCTACTGACTACAGTTGTTGCTCCTGTTTGTCTACCCTCTCCCAACCTAATTTTTTTAAAGTCACATTGATTATAAATATTGGGTTCAGAAACAATGACAGACAGTGCATGAATAAAATGTAATTACTGTTTCAGGCTGAGGCTTTTATTTGTTTTTATTAAGAAGCCATCTTTCCCAGGCTTAAAGTACCTCCCTGATTGAGTCTGATTTGGGCCAAAAGTAAACCCAGTGAATCCCCAAGGTTGTCACTTCTGTTTTACCACAGGTTTCTGTTCAGTGAGGCTTAGGTTTGGAATTTCCAGCTAGAATGATAGGACCAGCTCGTTTTGTGTAAAACCTGACAGATATGGAACCACATTATCATTCCAAAATAAACCTCTATGAGAATCACATTTTTCCTTTTCACTCAGAAGATTCCCCCTCCCTTTGAATACTAGGTAAGAGTTAACAATAAAATCAACAATTTATTTGATGGAATTGGAAGGTGGAACCAAAGGGAGGAAAGGAAGGAGAGAGGGAGGGAAAGAGGAGGAAGATAGGGAATAATGTTGCATGGGTTTGTGGGCAAATCAGAATGCTGTATTTCGATCCCTTTGCTGGCCTGCAAAAACTATTAAGCACATTATTGGATGCAACTTTTGAGAATAGATGATTCTTCTGGTGCCAAATATTCACTTTGTCTTACAGTTTAATGTCTAACCTAGTCTAGGGTAGCTAAAGTTTGTTAATAATGTTAATGTACTAGGCTACGATTCTAACGCTGTTCCTGTTTTCTGCTAGGTTTGTTGCACCTGTAGCTCCTAATATTCATCTTTTGTAAAAACAGAAACATTAAAGGAAAAGACCCTGCCCTGCTAACAATGTGGCTGGTATGGTCCTTGTAGCTTAGTGCACTCACTAGCTACCAGAACTGCAGGGCCGTTTGAGGGTCTACTTCATGGAAATGTTCAAAAGGAAGATGGAAACTTAGATACGACAGCTGGGATTTTGAAAACCAAAGCACTCAGATGTTTTTCTCAACCAAATACAGACATTTGAACTTCTGAGTCACCTTTGAAAATGTGTTTTTCCAGTAAAGTTAAAAGTAAATTCAAGATTCGAATATATAGATACAGAGATATACATATTCTTATTACTATTTCAATCATTTAAGAGCAAACAACATCCCTAAACCCTTTAAGTGTCTCTCGAGAGATTTCACTGTCAGGACTCAGAATCTAACCAGACTTTATCTCTGGATAGTCATGGGAAGATGAGGCAAGAGAGGAACAAGAATTAGGGTTTCGAGGGTGAATTGTCACTTCCTCAGCAGGGTCTTGAGGAGCAGCCTAGGCTGAAGGCATGAAGGAAGATCCTTCAGTGCTACAAGCTCAGGAACACAGTTCCAGCTTTAATTTGTTCTTTGCTCTCCCAGTGAGGTGGAGACTTGCTTTTCTTTTCTTTCTTTCTTTGTTTTTTTTTTTTTTTTTTTTGGGGGAGGTCTACAGGGTGCTCAGAATCTCACTACTAGATCAGACTCGTAGCGATCCGCCTGTTTACAGCCTCCCAAGAGCTGGGATTACAGGCATGCACCAATGCACCCAGTCTCAATTGCTGTTTCAGCACACCCTGGAGGCGGGTGGTGGGATGGCACAGCAGGCCTGGGGATTAAACCCCCGGTCCCTCTGCCTGCCTGCGGGCTCTTTAATCTGCTGAGCTATTTGGCCAGCCCAGAGACTTGCTTTTCTTGTTTTACTGAGCATTGGGTACATTCATGGGGTACAGTGTCATTTTGAATACTGGGATCCATGTGGACTGATCAAATCATGGTAGTGAGCATATCAAATAACACCAGAAGGTAGTGATGCTTAGTTATAGGTTTACTTGTCTTTGAACTTTAACCAACACTTTGGAAAGAAAGAGCATGAGTTCTTGCACAGGATTCTCTACCTCCAGTGAAGGGCTCCTCCCAATGCCAATTCAAACATGAAAAGAAATCTCTTCTTCCAGCGTAATATTCTGAAGTGAACACCAATGATGAAAATAAGCCACAAGATACAAGAAGTATGTGGCTCGATGTGACAGTATACTAAATACTTCTTCAGTTTAACTGCGGCTCTTGCCTTTAACACCCCCTGCTTTTTCCTTCAGGGAATAATTATGCATTAAAACCCCTCATGAATCTATGTTCATTAAAATATACTCACAGTATTTTAATGTGCTCATGTTTAATGCAATGTCTTTAACATAATTTTCAATAAAGTGTTTTAGGGCAGAAGATAAATAAATATTTAGAAATCGATCTCTTTAAAAAAACAGCAACGATCAACCTAGGAGAATTGTTGTGTTAATCAGAATATGTCTTTTTTTAAAAAAAGTTTGCCCTGTTTTCGTTAAGCTGTCCACCTAACCCTGTCTGCAGGATCAGGAGTAAGAGCACCCAGAAGCAATAAGCTGTGGTGTCTCTACCCCTCAGCAGTGCGGCGAGAGCGGGACTTTACCTTCTACCTGGTAACTGGTCTGCCAGTACCAGCAAGATCTTTTCTTCCAAGTCTGGAGAGGCAGGACATTTTTCCTTCACTTACTCATGGGCTCATCAAGTCTTTACTGAAGGCCGGCGGCCTGTGAGACACCATGCACTGGGCAATCGGCATCAGCCTTTGAAAAAATGGTCAAGTGGAGCTGATCGTCTACTGGCAGGGATGGTCAGACTTTAAGTCAGTACAGTAAATCAGTAGAAGTAAGAGTCAGGAAGAAAATGCAGCAAGATGATGACAGGATCGCAGTAAATTGGTGGTTAGGAAAAATGATCTTCAAGGAGCAACTAGTCGTGTAAAGATCTACAGAAAGACAGGCAGGCCAAATAGCTCAGTGGGCTAAAGCGCCTGCTTAGGCAGAGTGCAGCGGCCTGGGTTTGATCCCTGGCATGCCGTGCCAGCCCTGCCCCTGGGGCGCACTGAGATGGTGATTGAGACTGGGCGTGATGGTGCACACTTGTAATCCCAGCACTTGGGAGGCCGAAAATAGGAGGATCACTGCAAGTCTGATCTGTGTAGTGAGACCCTGTAGACCCTGTCCTAAATACATAAAAAATAAATAAAAGATCTACAGAAAGCATTCCGAGGGCCAGCAAGCACAGGGACCATGGTCAAATCCCCAGCATCACATGCTGTGCCAGCCCCACCCCTGGGGCGCTGAGCCAACCACTGAGTTCCATTGTGATGGTGCACACCTGTAATCCCAGCGCTGGGGAGGCTGAAAACAGGAGGATCACTATGAGTCTGGCCTGCATAGTGAAACTCTGTCCCAAATATAATAATAATAATAATAACAATAATAACAATAATAATAATAATAACAATAACAATAAAGTTATATAGATAGTGGCCCCTCACTTATCATGGCGGTTACATTTCAAACACCCCCATGATAAGTGAAAATCAGCGAAGTCGCAACATTATTTTAGTATTTATATATATTTTAAGGATTTATAAGCCCCACACTCTTATAAACCTTTCCTACTCTTTAAAAAACACTTCTAATGTTCTTAGCTATTTTCTAAACTCACAAACCTACATCATTTTAATATATATACTGTATGGTGCTGTAAAATCCCACAATAGCGAAAAATCTGTGATAAAAAATTTAGACTAATATTTTTCGAAAACCTGCAAAACAGTGAATCTGCAAAAGTGCAACTGCAAAATATGGAAGCTAGGGAGGGGTGTGTGTGTGTGTGTGTGTGTGTGTGTGTGTGTAAATAGAGATTTCTCTCTGCTGTTGGCTGCTTTGTGGCCTGCTATTTGCAAATTAGGCCCCAGAACTTTAAAAAAAAAATCTAATTATAACCCCATTATTAGACTCTGAGGTGTCCTAACCACACTGTAAAATAATAATATACTTGAATAATTTGACGGATCTGTGATTATGATGACAAAAATACCATAAACTATATGTTTTTCAATAATTTAAATAACATCCCAATCTCTTGAGCAGATAGGAGGAAAGATGAATGTGCTTCTGTTACATTCATATTTTATATAATACCTATTTTGCTTCTCAATTGTCTACTGGGTTAGTTATTTGAACAGGCTTAATTTATCTCTTGCCAAGCCCTGCTCAAGGCGCTGTGTTTCCTAGTTATGTCACAGGTCTATGGTTTAAGAACAAATACATCAGCAAAATGCCAGTGGCTCTGGAACTTCTTTGTGCTCAGTTATGGAAGCGCAAAGCCGACTGGTGCCTTTTAGCTGTTGCAGCAGAGTGATCTGTTCGATAGAAGAATTAATTTAATAAAGCGTGGGTAGAAACCAGTCTATTTAATTAGGGGACTCATCTGTAGCTTCACATTAGTTTCTCTGGTAAATTATTTCATAGCTTTCTTTTGTTTTAACAAATGAAAGCAACCAAAGCTCAAATCATGGGAGAAGCTGCCTTCCAAAAGACAAAGAAAGGAAAAGAGAACACATTTAACGTAGCGCAGAACTCGACGGCTTTTGCGGCAAGGACTGCACTGAAGGCCACTGCGCTGGTGGTGTTCAGATTTTAAGAATAGTTACAGGGTTTGACCACATTGACTGTTCTCATTTCTAAAAACATAGAAGACAAATTTACTTTTTTTTTTTTTAATGCTATTGGTCACAGATTGGAGATGGGTTTTGCTACTTAAATTCACATCTTTAAAGCTCTTTCTTATCCACTGAGCACACAGTAGCAGGGTAAATCGTACAGGTCTTTTTTTTAAAGGGATAAATTCGTTTTGGGATTTTATTTTATTAATTTTATTGAGAAACAAATGGCAATAAGACAGTTTCAAAACAGGTCAGTAGGACAGTTACAGTAATTAATACATTGCATATTGTTGTCTTCGTAGTGGTTATTCATTGTAGTAATAGTGTTTGGACAGAATATCATGTCTGCATCTTGTACTGTGAATAACTGTACAGGTCTTAATTTTAAAAAGAAAAGTCTGAGCAGCAGGGGGCGCTTGCCCAGGACCAGGTGCTGTGGTCTCGGAGGTGATTTTGAGGAAAGGGACGCCCTGCAGGGCCAGCGAGCCTTCGGTCCATTCTCCCTTGCATCACAGAACCGGTGGGTTTGTGTTGTGCTCTAGTGCCCGGCGGCAGCGACGAAGAGGAGGGCGCCGTTCTGTTCGACAGCTCTGGCAAAGTAGCAGCCGACCCCTTCGACACGTCGTCTGGGTCCGTGCAGCTCATCGCGATCAAGCCCACAGCCCTGCCAGTGGTGCCGCCCACCTCGGACAGGAGTCAGGACTCCTCGGCGGTGCTCAACGGCGAGGTGAGCCACAGCTGGACCCGGCGCGGCGAGTCCAGGCAGGCCTGGGGGGACTCGGCCATCCTGGGGCCTGCAGCTCTAGGCCACCTTAAAAGCACTGTAGCTGTGCGAAGAACCAAGAGATGCTCTATGGCCCCCAATATGCACACGCACCCACGCAAGCACACGCACACGCGCACACATGCATGCACACACCAATCTACTTTTCTTCTGCACGCTTCACATCCACTAGAGATGTTGTTGGTGAAGTTATGGGAGGGCGTGGATTAACCGGAAGGTGGAGAAGTATTGTCACGTAGACAGGGATATGGCCCACTACCAGCTTTGAAAAGACACTTACTCCTTCGGGCTGATTGTTTTCAGAGGGATTTCAATGGATATCATAATGTTAATTAACTTTCCTGAGTGAAAAAGAGAAGCCTGTAACCTATGTCAGAGAGTGATAATTTTACCAAAGAAAACCAGAACTAATAGATAATATATGATGATAGGGATAACAGATAGGTGCTTGACAGATAATAGATGATTGACAGATAATAGGTGATTTATAGATAATAGGTCATTGATTAAGAGATGCGAGAGAGTGGAGGCTGAGAAGTCAGGTAGAAATTATCTTCTGTCTTCCATTTCTGTAGCAGAATATCCAGGGGGCTAAAAATGTTTATGAATTTTTAAGAATATGCTTGTAGAAACTGCTTGTAAAAATTCACATTACATGTATGTGTGTACACACACACACACACACACACACACACACACTGACTCAAACACATGCTCCTGCTTTTCTCTGGTGATAGATGAGACATCAGGTTTGGCTAACCATCACATTCATATATACCCCACCATTATTACCTACAACAGGTGGGGAATTTCCTAAGTTTTAAACTCCTCTTCCTATCACATCCAAAGGGACACACCCGAGCGCTGCTCCCCTGGGTGTGGAGGTAGCATGTGAAATGCCTCACCATCCGGGATATTTATAAAAATGCTAATGTGCCTGGTTCAGAAACTTCTGCTTCCACTTCCTCCATTTTAAACAAAACCTTTAAAGTCTGAGGGGGTCACATGGCTTGCCCAAAGCCACACTGAAGGTCATGGTGGCAGCCAAAACGTTCAGGTACCCTGGTTCCCTGTCCAGTGCTCCTTCCTTGTCTTCAACAGCATTGTGCTTAAAAAGCAGCCTCAAGCTGGGCTTCAGGGGTTCAAATCCCCCCTCCTGCACTTCCTCTCTGTATGACCTTAGCCAGGTTAGTTAACTCCTGCATGTATGGCAGCTCCCCTATAAAATGGAACTGCTCTGAGGCCCAGATCAGTTGGTGTATGTAAGGGGGTGAAACTATCTAATATACAAAAGCACTTTCTTGTTACTATCAGTTACTCCACAAGAAGGATTGATTCATATGCGGTATGATCAAAATATACAATGAATACTTAAATTCAAAAGATTGATTACAGTAAAGGATACATTGCCATTAATTCCTCTCAGCATACTCCCCTCACTTCACATATACTTACATCATCATTCTTACCGTTGTCAGAAGCAGTTCTGGAACTCCACTTTCATGTCTTTAGTTGCTCTTTCATGGCTGCCTTGAGGTCCTGAATCAATTCAAAATGCTTACATTTCATGGTCATTTTGACTCTGGGGACTAACCAGAAGTCACACAGTTGACTACATCTGGTCCATAAGGTGACACGGCATAATGTTTTCATGAGCTCGCCTTTCTGCTGAATGGCACCCGGCAGCAGCATGCCACATATTTTTTATTGCACCTCATAAAGACACTCACAAAAGAAGGCTTCCAGAATTCCTTCAAAAAGTGCCAAGAACAATGGGTTAAGTGTGTTTGAAATGAAAAGAGTATTCTTAGGGAGGTTAGTGACAAAGTGTCTCTTACTACAACAAATTTTCACTAAACACATCGTATTTTTTGATCATCCCTTGTGCCTACCTTATCCCCCATCATTCTATTGTTTGCCTGGATGTCTTCCTAAAACCAGTCACAGCCACTGAGCCTTTTCCTTGGGTGTAGTTCCACTACCAGACAAGTGAGCCTGCCGTGTTAAACCCAAGAAGGCTGGTCTTGATGAGGACCCAGTCAAGGCTACCGTGGCTGGATGGCTCTGTCACAGCTTAATGATAAGAGTGTCAATCATGACAGACTCCAAAGCTGGGGCAGATCTGACTTCCCACCCCCTTTTCTTCCCAAGCTCACCACCCTGTCACAGGAGAACAGACAAGTATTTTTCCCTGTCCAGAAATGAGTCCTGGCTACATTTGGACAGCGAGAGGAATGGACTTTGCTGCCATTTGGACTGGAAGGGAGCCCTAAACTGCTCTCTGTAATCTGTGGCCCAGTGGAGCTACATACAGATTGCTCTATAATTTTCTTTCTTCTTTTCTTACAAGTGGCTGGCCTAAATGAAAAAAGCATGACCCCTAAGCCATGAATTTTCCTTTTATGAATTATAGAACATTATCATTTAAAGGTTATTTTAAAGAAAACATAATCACAGCATAGAAAGTTCAGAAATGGGTGATGGTGACATCCTCATCATTTGTTATTCCGAAGCATGGCCATCTGCTTACATCTTTCACAGGTCAGTGGGCTGTTAGCCATGTTCCCTTCTGAAAGACTAGACTGCTGGCTTTTCCTCATACAGCAGGATTTGGTTGGCATTCATAGTCAGGCAGAGCTTTAAAATAATATCTGTCTTCAAAGAGACATGGACTTACAGAAATGTGTTTTCCCATGCAGGCTGTTCATGTGGCAAGACCTTGGGAACAGAATGTTTGTTCTGCCTTCCCACCCATTCATTCTAGCTCACCCACTATGGGGCTGTCTCATCCATCTGGGCCACTGCTAATGGCCAGGGGGAGCGCTAGGGTCCCAAGGGCTGGCACTAGCTTCAGGGTGCCAACAATTAGCTGGGCTGCCAGGCAAGAGCCCTCTATGCCATGGACCCAGAGAAGTGTAGGCAGAATTAAGGCAAAGGTCAGAAAGCAAAGAGTCCAGAATCAGACCCAGCTGAGAGTGGCATCAGGAAGACTCGGGCAAAGGGAGTCTTGACAGAAGGACTCGGGTGACTCAGTGGCCACATGGGTGGGTCTGGCTGGCTCCAAGAACCAGAGTTGACTTCTAGGGTGGCTCTTCCAGGAGTTGTGGCTTTCTAGTGAAAAATCTCCCACTTGTCACCATGCTTGTGGCCTGACATGACCTCTTTCCTCAGGTGAACAAAGCCCTAAAGCAGAAGTCAGACATCGAGCACTATCGGAACAAGCTGCGCCTCAAAGCCAAGAGGAAAGGCTATTACGACTTCCCTCCGGTGGAGACAAACAAGGGCCTGACTGAAAGAAAAAAGATGTATGAAAAGGCCCCAAAGGAAATGGAGCATGTTTTGGACCCAGACCCAGAACTGTGTGCTCCGTATGCTGAGCCTAAAAACAGGTGATGACTCCATGGGATTCTTTCTTTTCTCAAATAAATTTATAATTTTATGAGTATGTTTGTGATACATAATGAGTACATTCATCATGAGGCATTGATATGTACCCATATCCCATCTTAATCCTTTCTGCTTCCCCTTCCTCCTTTCTCCCCCTTCTCCAAATCCCTTTCCCATCTCCACAAAGTCTGTCTCCCCATTTCCTATCACCTCTCTTTTATGCTGCTTTTTTACGCTGTTTTACGTTAGATTTCTCATACAAGAGAAAGCATGCCATGTTTAACTTTCTGTGTCTGATTTACTTCACTTAGCACGACAGACTCAAGGGATTCTCTTTAGGTCATTGTAGGTGGGATGAGGGTAGGAATAGCCACCTCAGGCTGCATAGACTTGGCTCCTTCATCTAGAGCTGTAAGATTGGGATCTTTGTGGGCCACGGATCTGGGCCCCACTGGGTCCATGCAGGCAAGTGCTCCATAATGACTCTGGAGGAGACTAAAATTGAAGCTGTTTTAATAATACCAGAGCAAATAACCATGATTGCCCTTTAGCTTAATGATATTTTCAAGCCAGTTGCTGTTTCAGAGCTAGGTGGAGATATAATTATCATCTCCCCAGTTATACAACTTTAGATGAAGGGACATTGTATTTTTCAATTATGTTGGCCCTTGCATAAGAAAAGCAATTTTCATACCTCATGTTTTCATTCATCATCCTGAGGTATTTACTGCTACTCGGCACCGTGTGCTGGTTTATCTCATTCATTCGTACGTTTGCTCAGCTGTTCAGTGTTCATTGTCACCTGCTATGCATTAGGCACCAATCAAGATGCTCCATATTGACATGGCAGGGGGTGCCTTTTCTCATTCATTCTTTCCTTCAATTCCTTCAACATTTATGAAGGACAAGACAGTCTGATTACTGTTCCTGTTCAACCGAGGGGAGCAAGACTTTGACCCAAAAGGGCCAGTCACAGGACTGATGGACGCGTGAGGTGTGGCTTGCTGCCGCTGTCTCAAAGGAGACCTTGGTGGAATAAGTGCTTCCCTGGCAAGCACAAGGGCCTAAATTCAATCCCCGGTTCTGCAAGAAAAAAAAAAAGGAGTTCTTGATCTCTCAGGCAGGACTCAGCCAGGTGATTGGAATGGGTGTCTGTCTCAGCCTGTTCTGTGCTATCCAAGAATACCTGAAACTAGTAATTTATAATGAACAGCAATTAATTTTCTCACAGTCTTGGAGGTTAGAAAGGCCAAGATCAAGGAGCCAGCACCCCGCGAGGGCTTCCCTCTTCATCACTTAGTGGAGGCAGAAAGACAGAAGGTTGCAAGAGGAGGCCAAACTTAACCCTGTCACAGAGGGCAGAATCTTGCGGCCTCTTGCACCTTCTAAATGCCCTGCTCCTCCCACTGCCAGAACAACAGCTAAGTTTCCACAGAACTTTTGGAGGGAGGAGCACTCCAACCAGAGCACTGTGGTCCAAACTTTGCTGCCAACTGGGCGGAGTGACCTCACACACTGGGAGTGAGAGATGGGGCAGTTCCTGAGCTGTGGGTATTTATGAGAAGCAAAACTGATTCTGTGACAGGCTTGAGCCAAAGCCACAAAGTCAAGTAGGGAGGTGGGACTAACTCTTATTTATTTTCAATGAAGAAAAGAGGAAATTCTAAACCAGAACTTAACTTACCATGCTTCCGATGAGTCTGGGTTGGTGTGAGAAGCTGTTGACATAAAATCAGCACGTGGCAATGTTCACAATGCATGTGTTGCCATGTTAACAGTGATAGGGAAAAGAGAAGAGAAAAGGGATGGATTTAATAAGGGATGACAACTTGAGATTTTACTTTGTACTTTAGGACTCTGCTTCAGTGGTCTGTAGGGTGGTTGCTGTTTCCCTGGGTTTCCTGCTGATACTCAAGGAAAAAAAAATCAACCATGATGTATAAATAAGAGGAGCGGGGGTGGGGAGATGGCTTAGTGGAATAAGTGCTTCCTTGGCAAGGGCAAGGACCTGAGTTCAATCCCCGGTTCCACAAAAAAAAAAAAAAAAAGAATACCCTCCTACATAAGAGGAGCTTAGCTTAGATGCTACTAGACAAACAAATACAATTTCTGATAGCATTTTCTTAAAAGAAAGGGAACCCAAAATGAACAGTCGCGTTCCATGAGTGCCAGGCCATGTGCTGAACTGAAGCACTTTGACAGTTTGCTGCTGCTGCTGCTGCTGCTGCTGCTGCTGCTGCTGCTGCTGCTAAGTGTATGGTGATTCTCAGTAAATCAAATCAAAAGTGATTTGGTGCAGCACCCACAAAAAGACTGGGGAGATAGCTTGATGGTCTAAGCACCTGCCTGGTAAGAATGAGGACCAGAGTTCGATCTCTGATACCCCATGCCGTGCTGGCCCCAAAACCAGGCAGGGTGGTGGCTCACACCTGTGATCTCAGCACTGGGGAGGTTAAAACAGGAGGATCACTACTAGTGTGAACCTCATAGTGAGACCCTGTATCAAATTTAAAAAAAAAAAAAAGCTACCAAAATAGTTGTACTCCCCAGAACAACAAAAGCATTTTTTAACTTGACCAGTTAGGGAAAAAGATGGGTAGCCACAAACCACAAACTGAATAAGCTGGGAAATAGGACTGGAGAGAGAGAATCAGTGAGAGAGGGGGCAGGGAGAGAGACAATTAGAAAAGAAGAGAGGAGCAGACCCTCCCTAAGCTCAGCGTGGAGGCGATGTGAACTCAGAGGCGTTATTCCTGACATAGACTGCTGTTGCCACCACAAGCTGCCTGCTGGTTGTCTCTTGTCACAGGTGAGAGCTATCTGTTAATTGCTGTTCACAGTACATTCTCCAGAGATGCTGCTGTAGTACACACAGGGAGGAAATCGTTCTTCTGCCCAGAAGGAGCATCAGGAACCAGAATTTTCCCTTCTGACCAAAGTTAAATAAAATGACACAAAGTTCAGATTCTAGAAGTTGGCTCACCATCAAATCTTTTAAAGTCATTTCCATAGCTATTTTCCTAAAATAAAAAAAGGCCCCATTTTATGTTACAGATGCTCAACTGAACCTCAAAGTGCACAGGCACCTGAGCCAGGCACCATGTCAGTTCTCCTTGCACATGTTGAGGCCAGCAGCGTCCTGCTATCTACAAGTCTCTATGCCTCCCACTTGAAGGCTGTTTTTCAGCAGTTACCAACAAGAGGTGTCAGGTTATTAATGGTCTGTGTAGCACCCTTAGTTACTGACATATGGGCATTGACGGATAAATACCCCTGGTGGGGAAACTCTGAGGCATCAGGTACCTGGTTGGAAAAGCCACACTTTTTTAGTTTTTGGATTTGATGCTTTGACATATGGGGTGTTGCTTACTCCAGAGACACTGCCCATCCCAATAAGAACCCAATTTTGTGCTCCTTTTGGTAGCACATACATCAGTGTGACCCAATGCCTATGGTAGTGATGAAAAGGACTTACTGGGAAACGCCCTTTACACATGCAAACCAGAACACATAGCTCAGCCATCTCCTCCTTAGGCTCTCCTGGGGCCTTTGCTCAGGACTGCCATCTACCTGCCAGCAGCACCTGGGGCCAGGCCCCTGACAGCTAAGGACAGTTGTCTTGGTTACTTTTCTTTCATTGCTGGGACAAGATAGCTGATGCCCAAAATTAAGGAAGGAAAGGTTGATTTAGATCACAGTTTGCAAAGGTTTCAGTCCATACTCGGCTGGCTCCAAGGCAGAGCGGCAGCAGTTCATGGAGACAGAAAAGAGCAAAACAATAAGAGCAGAATGAGAGGAGTGGCAGCAGAGGGCAAGCCTCTCTCTCTCTCTCTCCTGTAGATTGCATTCAGGCTGTCCACCCCAGGGCAGGTATAGCACTCACACCCCTAATCCCAACATTGGATCATGAATTAATTACAAACTCTAGAAGTTTGTGAAAGTCACCCCATGACGTCATGAGGCTTTGAGGAGAAAAACTAGACATGAACCGTAACAGCAGTCTTCCCTACCCTACATCTGCTTACCCTGCACCACTTGTTATTTTCATAGAAGCTGCAGTAAGCCATGCTTCCTCTTCATTCGGCCACCTCCTGGCAGACCCAGCTGCTTCCCCATGGGTTCAACTTGTCCCTTTCTCTTGAGTTCCTGAGTATAATAAAACATGTTCTTAACATCATTCAGCTCCTGATCTGTCTGCCTCTCCAGACCTGAATGATAATTAAACCCACATTTTAAAGCAGCTGTCTCCCACACATCTCCAGTGAGTTTGGGCCCCAGATATACAAACCACTCATCTGCTCAAATCTTTCCCCTGTTGATTTCCTTACCATTTCTCAGTTTCTCCCCCACTTCACAGCTGGAGCTTTCTGGAACCACTTTCCAAATTCTCCACATGCACACAAATCACCACAACTAGAGTGTCCAGGGGAACCACCCTAAGGCAGTAACCCATAAAGACAGAGTTGGCATGATAGAAAGTAGGGCTTATTTCTTCTCAGTGGCTCCAGGCTGTCTCTATGGAACCCCAGGGTTCCACAGAGCACAATTTGCAAACTGCAAATTTCTTTAACTAACCTGGGATTAAAAAGCTCTTAAAAATCCAAGTAAAATACTCTGTTATCCACCAAGCAATATTTTTGGAGCTAAAAAATTTATCAAGTTTACATGTTCCAAAATGTATCACTTTTATAAAAATGCAGCAACATACCAAATATAAATGAGTATACCTAATGGAAATCTATTTGATTAAGATAGGCAGTTTATCTGCCTGAGAGACTGATTTGTTTTTAAGCAGATGTTCGCACACCAGGCACACATTGGTGGTCTGGTCAACTGAGATCCGTGTTAAGCAACATGATCTCACATGGCCTTGAAGCCGTGCATCATGGTGGAACTTCGCCTCCCAGGGAAGGTTAGACTGGTGGAAACTCCAGTGTCAGGGCTCTAACCCACACTCCTCATTCTTGAAAGGTTCTTACGCATTTCATTATTGTATTTCTAGCACTTAGACAAGCACCTACTGAAATGTCAGTTGTCAGTCCTCCTGGTTACTCTTCCACCACCCCTTTAGTCAATCTTTTCTAAATGGGCTAATTAGCAATCTCAAGGCAGTTATAAAGTTGGCTTTTTTCAAAATTTGGAATTAGGTCAAGGATGACAATTCTGTGGGGTCTGCTGAAGGCTGAGTTACTTACAAGCTCACTGAGGAATGAGCTTGGATGCCTTCCCTGAAGGAAGCCTTTAATTGCAGATAACTGGAGAGAACAATTTATAAGATCACATTGTGAACACCTAGATTAGTCTGGAGTCATTTGGTGGCAAATGATGGAAATCCAGCACAAACTAGTCAAATAAAAGAGGAATCTATTATTGAGCATTAGTGAAAGGTCAGTCCTGCAGCGCAGCTGGATGAGGGGAGGGTCACACATTGCCTCCCTGGTTGCTTGTGTTCTCTCAACTCTTTGCCAGCCCCATTGGGGGTGCTAAGTTGATGGTGGCAAACTCGCTGGCAGCATCTCCAGGTTTGTGTCCATCTTCTTAGAAATCACAATGCCAAGAAAGTGTCTCCTACTTGCCCTGGAAAAAATCCTGAGACTCAGTCTCATTGGGCCAACTCCTGCTTGGTCCTGACCAATAGTGCACCAGCATGTGATGCTGTGGTTGGCCTAGCCTAAGGCAGTTGCCTACCACCAGAGGAAATGTACTCCCAACAACACCTTGCTGATCTTATCCACAGACGGTTATCATGGATACCATTGACAACAGATGATCTCAAAATAGGTATAAACTCCTCAAGGTAAAGGAGTGACTTTAACACTAGCTGTTTCATTTCCAAAGCTAATGGCAGAAATATTGCTTTGGCTTGGAATTCTAATATCTGTTATAAACCGTGTGCCTGTAATGCTGAGAAAAGTTGATGTGTGCTCTTGAAGAACTGTACATGCCTGCTAGGTCTCCGATATCCCACAGAGTCAGTGGGGATAAGTGGTATAATCTCTTCATCTTTGGCTCATGAATAGCTAGAGTTTTAGAACCAAGACTCACAGTCTTGTATTTAGGGGAGTTCTCTGAAGAGAGGTCATCTGGAAATGGAAATTATTTGAAGACAGATGAGAAGAAACTCGTATTTTTTTTTTATCATGCTCATGAAAGTCACCTGTGCTTCCTATTTATAAAAGTTGCCTTGTGTGGAAGAAGAACATAGCCATCATCCCCTGTATGTTGCTGACTTCCTTCCTCTCTTCAGACAGATTCCTGTAATGAGAAGTGGGAATAAGACAGTCGTGACCAATGTATGGATTTTCTAAAAGTAGCTGTGTATAGTCTCTGAAAGTGTACTTTCCAGACCTAAAATACTCTGTCCATATTGGCATGGGGCTGGCTGCATTGAAGGTTTGGTTTCACCACAGAGAAGCTTAATAGACTGTCTTAACTGATTTTTCTCTCATCCTAGTCATCCTTTCTCATAGTTCCTTATTTCTCTTCATAGCGTGTTCTGAAATTACCATGTTACATCTCCTTCAGCAGGATATAAACTCTGGGAGAGTTGGGATCATGGATGCCTATCTTTTTCCACGGTGACTTGTATATTGTAGGACCTCAGTAAAAGAAGAACGGATGGATGGATGGATGGATGGATGGATGGATGGATGGATGCATGGATGGATGGGCTCTGTGTTATATAGCTTTCCTCTAGTGTGACAAAGTGCCTGAGATAAATCAACTTAAGAAAGAAAGGTTTATTTTGACTCACAGTTTTAGGGGTTTCCAATTATAACTGCTTGGCCCCATCACTGTAGGCCTGAGAGAAGGCTGAGCATCATGGTGGAGAGTACATGGTAGAGCAGAGCTGCTCACTTCGTTATGTCCTGGAAGGTGGAGGGGGGAAAGAGAGAGAGAGAGAGAGAGAGAGAGAGAGAGAGAGAGAGAGAGAGAGAGATAGACAGGCAGACAGGCAGACAGACAGACAGAGACAGAGAGACAGAGGCAAGGATGAGGTCTAGCCTTCAAGGGTAGGCCCCAAGGACTTACTTCTGTCTACCAGACCCTACTGCCTAAGTTTCTACTACTTCCCAATAACCAAGGAAATGACGAACTATGAGGTTAGAACCCCCAGTTGCCTTTCGAAGGCTCTACCTCTGATCACTGCTGTACTAAAAACAAAACTTTCAACACATGACCTTTTGGGGAGATTTTAAATTCAAACTGCAGCAGGCTCTAAACTTCCTCTAGGTTTATGGGTTCTTAGTTCAGACAGGAATCCACTATGGAAACTGTAGAAAGGAAATCTATTAGCAATCACAATATTAGGCAGCCTGCTAGCTGCAGTGTTTATTAATACAGTGTAGAGACCTGCACTTGAAATCAGAAGGATTAAAAGGAATAACAGGTTGCTGAGTCAACAAAGTCAGCAAAGGCAAGTGCATTCCACCAGCCTTCACTATCCAGGAGGTCAAGGGAGAATCCCTGGCCTTGCCTTCAGCAGAATTTTAGATGAGCTTGCATTGTTGGAATAGATGGTAGTTGCCTAGTTTTCATATGAAAGAGCACTAATAATTCAGCCACATGGTTGCAGCATCTGGAGAAAGAGAAAGAAAGAAGAAAGACAGACAGAAAGAAAGAAAGAAAGAAAGAAAGAAAGAAAGAAAGAAAGAAAGAAAGAAAGAAAAGAAAGAAAGAAAACAAAAACAAAAACAAAAAACAAGACAACAACTGCCCCTTAAGACCAGGGAACAAATTCCATAGAGTCTGAGGATTTGTGTGGCAAATGCAAAACTCTTCATTGGTTGACTGTGTTTTGGATCAGTGGAGAATTCCATCTGTCAGGGCATTTGCTGTATCATAACAGTTGTTGAATTTTCTTCAGGCAACAGATGAAGAACTCCGTCTACCGAAGCCGGCAGTCTCTGAACAGCCCCAGTCCAGGAGAAACTGAGATGGACCTTTTGGTCACTCGGGAGCGGCCCCGACGTGGAATCCGGAACAGTGGATATGACGTAAGTCTCTGGAGGGCTGGGGGGAACACAATCTCTGCTTTCTCCTGAAAGCAGGAAGCACAGAGCATCCCATACTGTGTCAGTTTACGACATGTTTTTGGAAATTGCAAATGCACTAAAATGCTATTTTTTAGTACCTCTTCTGCAAAATAATATTTGTCAGAGTAACACACTGTGCTGAAAGGATCATGATTTCTAAATTGCACTGTTTTGCAAATATCTGTGACCTAAAACCAACAGAGGTTCTAAATGTCTAAATTTCTTTCCTTCTGTCTTTAGAAACTCAATAAGAACCATGGAAATGGGTTAGAATTCATTGGAGCACAGGCTTCTTTTAATTTATAGCCGCAATAAAAATTTGGCCTTGTTCCTGATTTCATAACACCTCAATATGTCATGGAAACTATGAGATGTCCAACAGAGCGAGTTGATGATTTTGTATGACAAAGCACCTCGCGTGTGTTTAGTGATGTGTCCAAGCCGCAAAAACCCTCCTGGCCCTTCAGGCTCCCCCAGATGAGCAGTTGCACCCCCGTGCCTCCTACTAAGCGTAGACATCCTGACCTTGGGGCTGCATCCATGACCTCATGAGGATTATTCTGGGCTGAGATATTCAGTAGTGCTGCTCCTTGCCCCACGATTCCAGTTGGTCTTGATATCCTCTGAGGTTCTGTGAAAAGTATTTCTTTTCATTTCCTAAGAGGTTTCTTTACTGACTAATTAGATTTTTTTCTGTAACAAGAATTCTAATGCAAATATGTCTGGAGAAACTTTTGTTATAATATGAGAAGTTGTAAATGGGAAATGAGAGTGGATTTCTTAAATACAGCTTGCTTGACAAAAGGATTATTTTCCCTTTGGGGATTGGCCACTATTGCCACAAAAGCCAAAAATGAGATTCTTTAAGATTTCAGTTGAAAAACAAGGATGTTCTACGTAATTTCAATCTCTGCTGACTTCCTAACATTTAAACTTGATGTTTGTGTTGGTGGTGACACCCTTTATTGTTTGTTTCTTCTCTTTTTCATAAAAATTTGATAGGTTAATAGTATAAAATTCCAAAATACTTAAAGCATATATTTTCTTCCAATAGGTTAAATAGTCCTGGAAGATAATTTTCTCCTCACAAGAAATATTTCTTCTACCAAAGTTATTCATTGATTTTATCATCAATAAGTGATTAAAAATCAACATTAGCTTTAAGTTTCTGGTGAACCCTCCTACCAAGAGCAAACATTCTTCCTAGATGCTTGCTTAGTTAGGGGTATTTTTTTTTCACTCAAGTAGCTGAAATATGACAGAATTTTTGCTTACTCTCAAGAATGATATCAATAAATGTTACAATTCAGGGCTTTAATATCCTCCAAAAGTCTTATGTGTTCAGAGGTGGGGGTTTTAGAAGGTAATTGGATTGTAGGGGTGTATGGGCATATCAGTGGACTATAGGGCCCAGAGCTGAATGTGCAGGAGGAGATGGATCCTGATTAGAGGGGGATCACTGGGGGCGTGGCTTGCAAGGGCATTGGCTCCCTCCTCTGTCTTCTCTTTGCTTTATGCTTCCTGGCCACTGTGACACAAGCAAGTTTTCCTCCGCCAGACCCTTCCCCCATGAGTTTCTTGCCTTGGATGCAGCTAACTGTGAAGCCTCTAAAAGCCACGAGTCAAATCAACCTTTTCTCCTTTAATTTGTGAGTGTCAGGTATGGTGTCCAGTGGCAAGGAAGTGACTAAGACACTAGGTTTCTTGTGGAAGTCCAGGCACAGACGCTTTTACAGTTGTGGGGAGATAGGAGAGAAACTCCTATAATAAGCTTAAAAGGAGAGTAGGCGTGGTGGCACGCCTGTAATCCCAGCTTTTGGGAGGCTGTACACAAGTAGATCACTAAGAGTCCGATCTAATAGTGAGTCCCTGAACACCCTGTAGGCCCTTCCCTAAAATACAAAATAAATAAATAAAATAAATTTTAAAAAAAAATCATAAAAAGAGAGCTCTGCACATCCTTTTAATCATGTACTGTGACTTTCAGTATTCACCTAGTGCCTTTGGAATGTTGTGTTAGGAAAATGGCTAAAGCAATGAGAGAATTTTACAAAAGATTCTTATTCAATTGCTCATTCTTTGCAAACATTTACAATTATTCCAAGTACAATTCAGGAGGCTCTCTTCATTCTAATAGAATTTTCAAAACCATATTTATCTGAGAAGCATATATGCTCTTTTATTTTATTTTATTTTATTTTATTTTGGTACCAGGGATTGAACTCAGGACCTTGTGCTTGCCAGGCAGGTACTTATACCACTGAGCTCTCTCCCTGGCCCCATATATGTGCTCTAAAAACCATAAATATAAATTTTCTTAAGAGAAAATGATCATCCAATAGGCAGTTTCAGCACTTGAAACAATTCACTGCAAGAACGACATTGGTGCTGGGCTGGGAGTCGAGGCTCAGTGGTAGGACACTTGTCTAGCGTATTTGAGGCCCTGGGTTCAACCCCCAGCACCACCACCAGCAGCAGAAACAAATAGATGAAAGATCACAGTTAAGGGAGCAGTAAGAGATAGAGGAATAAAAGGATCAGAGTCAGCCAGGATGTGTTACATGCACACACCAATTCCACAAAACAGACATCACTACCATATACTGCAAACATAAGAAAAAGGTGACCAGCTGGGCACTGTGGCTTGTATCTGCAGCCCTGACTACATAGGATGTTGAGGCAGGAGAGTCGTGAGGTGGAGGCCAGTCTTGAACAACACAGGCAACATGGCGAGACCTTTTCTCAAAAAGAAATATGCCACTGCTTACGTGCATCGCTCTTGCGCTTTTTCTACCGGTCACATGAAAAGTGCTTAACATCGTTCTACTAACTGTACAGTAGGGACCAAGCCAGTTCTACTCTTTATGTGTAGAACCTGATTGAATTTCCCTGGATTCCAGTTGGAGAGAGGCTGACATTATGCCCACTGTATGGAAGAGGAGACTGAGGTTCAGACTTGTTCCATTACTTGTTTGCCCTGCTCCAGAGCTCATCCTGCTAACCACATGCAGTGTGGGTGTTATGGACATCCATGCCACTGTGTGGCTACCCTCACGCAGTGTAGTATAATCCTATATTGCTGAACCTCTGGAAGAAGCCAGATGTTAGGTCTCAGAAGGATTCCTATGTGAATAACTTATCCAAGCAAAAAAAGGACCAGCAAATAAAGAACAAAATGCCAAGGTACTCTTGGTAAGAGAATCCATCAGCCCAGCAGGAAATGTTCATTCCACTGAAAATACTTCACCAAATTGAAAATTTATCAAAAGTTGATTTTGGAGTCCCAAAAGAAAAGATTGTATTTAACAATACTAAACATGCAAATAAGTAAACAAACTCGTACTGCCTAGGCAGTTCTTAGCCCCCACAGGGATGGCACCCGAGATCATTTCAAGTGTTTCTCTATAGCAAGAGGTGCTCCGGCCCGCAGGCTCTTGGCTCTAAGGGATTTGGAGCAACAATTCAGTCACCCTCTCAGCCAGTCCACCCCTGCTGGTAACTAGGGATTGGTTAGTAGTAATTTTCCACAAGTACCCCTGTTTAAAGAATGCATTATGTCTTAAAGATGTCCCAAATAGATCCCTTCTAAGATTCCAGATTATACCATTACACTAACTTTTGCGCTAAAATTACTTTGCAATTTTACACACATGTGTAAATGCTGTGTTGTTTCTCTAGTGTGAAAAACCAAAAGTGTAAATAAAGACAAAAATGTAGACTAGAAATTGAGAAGTAGAAAGGAAATGTCCAAATGGGAAGGAGAACTATGGAGGGTAGAGGAGAAAGGGAAGGAAGGGAGAAGAAAACAATGAGAAAAGAAGGAACAAATGGAAACAATGCTTTTGTAAATAAGGGGGTTGAAGGGAGGGGAGCGGAATGGGGGGAAAATATCAAGCTTTATCATGTACAGATACAAGCTCTCTATGATGAATATGATCATTATACATATGTAAAAGTTACCAATAAACTTAATAAAGACTAAAATAAATAAAATTTCTTTGTCCAACATGTAATGCAGGTGGAAAAGAAAAATCTCACCATAATGTGTAAAAGTAAAAAAAAAAAGTCTCAATTTAAAATATTAACTTCTGAATTAAAGTCAAGTAGAAAAGAATGAAGTGGTGAATAAAAAGGAAGAAATAACCCACTTAGGGTTCTCAGGTGGGGATGTTTCCCATGTCATCAGTTTCCCATATCATAGTCCAGTATGTGCATCATATAGCAGGTTTTGCTTGCAAAGGGCAAGGAATAATCAAATCATTCCCTGCAGATAAAAAGGCATACTTCCAATTAGGTCTGATTTTTTGTTATTTCCTTTGTTTTCTGAGGTGCTAGTGTCGGAATCCAGGGCCTTGTGGCTGCTAGGCGGACACTACAGCTGAGCTACACTTACAACCCTGATCTGTTTGTTTGAAGTTTGAAAATCTGCGGCAGGCATAAATTCAACTGTCTGCCTTTGTTGTGAGGGGGTCTGGAAAATGGATTATTTTAATTATAACTTAGAAAATGAATTCTGACCCCTATGAAGTAGACATTTTTAAGCTACTTCCCCTAGTTTTTTCTGATGCTTTATTGAAAGTTCCACACCTTAGGTACAAGTAGTCCCAACTTAGGAGCTTTTGACTTGTGATTTTTAAACTTCATGATGTGAAGGTGGTATGTTTTCTGTAGAACTCATAACTCAGTAGAACTTAGGCTTCACATTTTCATCCTTCCATGGCTAGCCATATGCAGCTGACACTCTCTTGTAACTCCAGACAGTGACGATTGAACCATAGCTCCCACTCAGCCTTAGGTTCTTGATCCTAAACAATCCCTACTCTCAGTGGATAGTGTTGTCAGCATCATTTGGATATCAGCTCTTGTGTTCCTGTATCCTCTCGTGTTACAAAACTGTGTACATGCATGACATCTTCAGCACTTTATTGTAGCAGAGGCTTTGTGTCAGATGGTGTCATGCA